GCGGGGGGGGGGGGGGTGCCCTCCACAGCCCCCTGATCCCTGCCACCCCTCCAGGCTGCAGCAGGACACCGGGATCCCCTTCGCCCAGATGCTGTTCTTCGACGATGAGCCCCGCAACATCCAGGATGTCAGCAACTTGGGTAGGGGAGGCCGAGCCCCCAGCTGGGGGGGAGGGGGGCACAAGGAGACCCCAGGGCTGGTGGGCAACCACGGAGGTGGCAGGGAAGGGAGTGGGGGGTGGGATGTGGAGGGCAGGGGGGAGCAAAGGGGCCCCTCTCATGCTGCTTTCTCCCCTGCAGGTGTCACCTGCGTGCTGGTCCCTGCCGGGATGACCCTGGCTCTCCTCACCCATGGCCTGGAGGCCTTCGCCGGGCCCTGCCCCCCCCCCCCACATGGAGGGGGGCCACAACCCCCAGATGATAAAGCCCTGAGACCCCCATTGCCGTGTGTGCAAGATAACAGTCTACTGCTGCCGCCTGTGTGGGATAACAGCCTACTGCTGCGGGGCGGGAGGCGCCAGGTGGGGCAGATCCACGCCGTGCAGCCTCTACATGTGTGGGGGCAATGCCCCCCACCCCACATCCGCGCCGGGGATTTGGGCAGAAATGGGGCCGCGGCCACTTTTAAGGAAGGGGTGTTGAAGCCGGTGCGTCACGTGCTTGTCATGTGTCATGTGACTTGGCCTGTCCTACGTCACGTGCCGCGGAAGGCGGAAGTGCGGCCGCAGCGATGAGCGCCCTGGGGAAGATGTTCGGGAAGGGTGAGCGCCCCCCGCCGCCTCGGCCTAGCGGGGTGGTATCACCCGTGGGGAGGTGGGGAGCGCAGGCCGTACGGAGCCAAATGCTCCGGGAGCGGGGGGGGAGGATAAAGTCTCATGTGGATGAACTGAACGGACCGCAGCGCCTCCGGGCTGTACCATCTCATGCTTCGCCGGGCGGGACTGTACCACTTCGCGTCTGGGCATGGAGGGGCTGTAGCATTGTCTGTGGGTTGGGAGGCTCCTACTACCGCTTCCTGGTTCTGGGCGGGCCGTTCCACTTCATGTCGGGGCGGTGGGGTGTGCCATGTCTCCGTGCTTGTGGGGGCGTCTGTACCACAACTCCCTGCTGGGGGGGTGGGAAGGGGGACTGTGACAATCTCTGGGCGACGGGGGAGGAGGACCCCACTAAACTGTGTGGCCGGGGTATACCACTTTGTACGGAGTGGGGGTGTACAATCTCTTCCTGGTTAACCGGGAGAATGTACCATATGGGGGAGGGGGGGGTGTCCTGGGTGTATCATTCCTGTCTTGGGGGATGTGCCATTTCTTCCTAGTTGTGGGTGACATGGACTGTACCATTCTTTGTAGGCAGGATGGGGTGCTGTACCACCCTGCTTGGTCTAGGGCAGGCCATACTATGACATATCTGCAGAGGGGAGGACTGCATCACTTCTTCTCTAGTTGTGGGAGGGGGTGAGATCTACCATTTGTCTCCTGGGTGGGACGGACTGTACCATTTCCATCCAGTTTGGGGGGTGGAACACCAGGCCTGTTAGGAGTTTCCCACAATGCACTTGGGGCCTGGGAGGGGAAGGAGAAGGGGGGCAGTATGGGGTGACCCTGACCCCTCCCACCCCCCAGGGAAGAAGGGGAAGGCGCCAACCCCGCAGGAGGCCATCCAGCGGCTGCGGGAGACAGAGGAGCTGCTGCTCAAGAAGCAGGAGTTCCTGGAGACCAAGATCCAGCAAGAGCTGGTGACCGCTCGCAAGCATGGCACCAAGAACAAGAGGGGTGAGCTGGTAGGGCCAGGTGGGGGCGGGGCCCCAGTTTGGGGTGGAACAGAGCCATGGGCAGGGCTGGCCAGCTGGAGAGAAGAGGTGGAGCTTCCCAGGTGGGGGTGGAGCTTATGGACGGGGCATCTCAGCTGGGGGGAGGGGGTGAAGCAGTGGAAGGCGGAGTTGCATGTGGGCAGGGGCAGACCCATGGGGCGGGTCTGTCACCAGTGCGGGGGTGGGGGAGAGGCTCTGGGGCTGGGTGATGGGGTATCTGGGTATGGGGACAGGCCCAGAGGACATCCCTGCCCTCCCACTGCCCCCACTCAGCGGCGCTGCAGGCGCTGAAGCGCAAGAAGCGGTACGAGGGGAAGTTGGCGCAGCTGGATGGGACCCTGTCAACCATTGAGTTCCAGCGGGAGGCGCTGGAGAACGCCACTACTAACACTGAGGTGCTCAAGACTATGTCGGACGCCGCCCGCGCCATGAAGCAGGCCCACCAGAACATGTGGGTGCCAGCAGGGGTGGGGCTAGGGCAGGGGGCGGGGTTGAAGGGGGTCATTGCCCCACCTTCTGTGGTACTTACGGGCTCCAGGCTTCACCCATCCAAAGGGAGAGGCCCCACCCCTCGGAAGAATCCTTCTCCCTCCCCGGTGTGGCAGAGGTGGTGGCTCTGCTCCCTCTTGGCAGGGTGCAGTGGGGCTTTCCGAGGCCCCAATTCCCCTGCGGAGCTCACAGTCTCCCCACCTCTCCTAGGGACATTGACAAGGTGGACGACCTCATGTCCGATATCACGGAGCAGCAGGACATTGCCCAGCAGATCTCAGATGCCATCTCCAAGCCTGTGGGCTTTGGTGACGACGTGGATGAGGTGAGGAGGGGCAGGGCCTCATCCTTCAGAGAGGGATGGATTCTCAGGGGCCTGGGAGGGTGAGATCTTGGCTGCAAGCGGTCCATCGCCCTTTTTCTGCCTTCACTGCATCTCCCTCTTCCGCCCCCCCCCATCCCAGGATGAACTACTGGCTGAGCTGGAGGAACTGGAGCAGGAAGACCTGGACAAGGAGCTGCTGAACGTGGGGGAGCCGGAGCTACCGGCTGTCCCGAGCACCCACCTACCGGCTGTACCAGGTACAGGCAGTACGATATTCCAGTTCTTCCCACCGCCACCCGTGCACCGCGGCTTGATTGCTCTCCTTTCAGAACTCTGCCAGTCTCAGCTGCCTGCCTTCCCCTGTTTAGACCCTACAGGGACCCATGGAAGGGCAGGAAGAGGTCACGGCTTCTCAGTGAAGCCCCTGGCCCCTCCATCCTGACTTCCTAGGGCACCATCGTCCTGATCTTCCCCATCACCCTCAGTGACACATGTCATGTGTGCCCCCTCCCCACCCCCCCAATCAGCACTTCTTAACTGTTCCTAAAGGGCTCCCCTGGGCCCAGCCTCCCATGCCTGGAAACCTGTCACAAAAGCCACAGGCAACCTCCAGCACACCAGCCATTCAGGATTTGGCTGTTCTCCTAGGCCTGACCTGGTTTTTGCCCCCATTTCCACTGCAGGGTTGGTGAAGGGCAATGCAGTGTGGGAGGATACTCCACAGATTTGGTGGGCTGGAGGTGGGGAGGTAGGACTGGTGGATGCAGTGCAATATGGGGTAGGGGGAACTAAGGAGGGAGGGACTGGTAAGTCAGTGAGATCTGGGGCTGAAGGCATGTGGCAGGGGAGGTGGGTGATTGGTGGATGCTGCGGCATCTGGGACTAACATGGGAGGAATGCAATGGGTGACATGCTATGGAGGAAGGAGGATTGGTGGATGTGGTGAGGATCTGGGGCTGTGGGGATGCATTGAAGCTAGAAGGGATGGGTGGGCACAGTGGGATGCAGGGCTGAGGGGAGCTGCTGGGAAGGGTGGGAGGGACTGGTGGATAAAGTGGGATCTGGGGCTCAGGTGATGCACTGTGGGGGAAGAAAGGACTGGTGGGTGTAATGGGATCTAGGGATAAGGTGATGTTCCCTGGGGCAGAAATGAGTTGGGGCAGTGGGAGCAGAGTCAGAGGGGATGCACGGGGGAAGAGATTGGCAGGTCCATGGGAACTGGGGCTGAAGGGCCTTGCCAAGGGCGGTGGGTGATTGGGTGCAGTAGGATGGGATCACCCCCCTACTCCCAGAGGGGATGCACCAGAAGGGGCAGGGGCCATTGATGGGTGCGGTGGGATCCTGGGGTAACATGCTAGAAGGGGAGGTGGTTTGGGGCATCCCATTCACTTCCAGTGTCTGTTCTTCTGTCCCCTTCCCCACCAGCCACCACGGCCACAGCCACAGACGAAGAGAAGGAACAACTAGAGCAACTGGCTGCCTCGCTTTCCTGATGCATGCTGGGAAACCACCCCCTCCTGGGCTATTCCCAGCACCCCCGCCCTCCCCAGAAGTGGACGCAGCCCTGTGCACCTACACAGAGCTTTACAGATTTCTGTGGGCCAGAGACTAACTCTAAGTGGGGCCAGGGATCCCTCCCCAGTTCCCTAGGTTCCCCCCCCCACACAAATCCCCCTAGCTGTGGGGCTGGACTGGGCTGCAAGGGCTGGGGTCCCCTGTTGCCCATACTTGTGGAGGGGGGTGGGGGTCCAGACCTCAGGCCCATGATTCCCTAGGACTGATTCCTTTGGGGGTGAGGGGCCCCCCTACACACACTCCTGGGAAAGGCTGGCAGGACGCAGGCTGGAGGGCTGCGTCCCCAGAACACTACAGGTGCCTTTGTGGGGGGGCACAATGAGGGGCCATACTACTTGTGGGGGGCTGCTCTTAGCCCCCTCATCTACTCAGGGGCCTTGTATTGCAGGTTAACCCTTTCCTTGCTGCCTTTAAATAGGGGCTTCCCCTGCACCCCTCTCGGTGCTGATTGTGAGGGGGAGGCAGGGCGGAGGCGTTGTTGGGGGAGCTTTGTTTCCTGGGTGGGTTTATTGGGGTTCAGGCTGGGGGAGATTCCAAAGCTCCCCCCCGCCGGCTGAATAAACTCGGTGAGGATCTCTGTGGCTCTGTGGTGGCTCCCAGTGCTGTGACACAGTGGGGGGCTCCCCTCAGCAATGGGGCCCCCAGTGAGGGCAGAGCTAGTTTTGGGGTGTCTTCCCCCCCAGCTGGCTTTCTCAAAAGCATTGGTGGCCTTGAGGGGCCCGACTAGCCCACCTTCTTCTTGTCAGACGGCCCAGCAGCTGAGGGGGCTTTTGTTGGGGGTCCGCTGGCCCCTGCCCCTGTCCGGCCTCCCCAGGCGGTCTCGAGGGCATGCAGCTCTGCCGGGGGGCGCTCAACCTGGAAGCGCAGCACCCAGGGGCTCTGTAGCAGCTCTAAGGTGCTGAAGCGCCGGGCTGCTCCCCGCAGTAGGTGCTGGATCAGGTCCTATGGGGGATGGGGGGCAGTAGTCAGAGGGCACCCCTGGTGTGGGGGGTACCCCCTGCCTCACCCCCTTAAGGACGTGGATCTGTTCTACTCTCCCATACACCCTGCTGGCCCCCCAGAGCCCTTTGCCCGATTTCATGCCCCTGGTGCCCCCTGCACTTACCCCAGTGCCCTGAGCACTCCCTTACTGCCCCCCAACACGCACACTCTCCCAGTTCCCCATGCAGGATTTCCTGCCCCCTGACTGTGGTGGGTACCTTGCAGTCCTCCGGCACTGAGGGCTGGGCGGGGAAGACGACATCACGCTGGGTGTCACGCAGTAGGCGCTTGAGGTTGGTGTCATCGAAGGGCAGGTGGGCGACCAGCAGTGTGTAAAGGATGACTCCCAGGCTCCAGACATCGGCCAGGAAGGGATCGTAGGGCATCCCCAGCAGGATTTCAGGGCAGGCGTAGGCAAAGCTACCACAGTAGGTCTGGCTCAGGAGCGCTGGCCCGGCCACAGCCCCGTCCCCGGCCAGGACCAGCCCAGAGCCCCCGCCCATGGCCCGTGCGAACCCGAAGTCTGACACCTTGATGTTCTCCTGCTTGTCCAGAAGCAGGTTCTCCAGCTTCAGGTCCCTGCAGGGTAATGGGCAGGGGGTGATGGGTACTTGGGCCATGGGCCTCACTGGAAGGAATGGATGGGGCACGAGATAGTGATGGGCAGAGGGCAGGCCAGTAATGGGTGCGGGGACCAGGGGGTGATGGGCATTGCAGGAATGGGCAGGGGGTCTAGGCACTGGAGCCATGAGCATCAAAGGGGGTAATGAGGAACAGGGCAGTGGTGGGCACTGGGGGCAGGGGGTGATGTGAGGCACCTGAGAGGGATGGGGAACAAGGAGATGCAAGTTGGAAAGGGGTGATGGGGTACTGAAGGGGGGTGGGGGAGTGCACCTGGGGGGCAGAAGGTGGGTGGTGATGGGGGACCAGGGGTGATGGGCCCTGGGTGCTGGTGGCATGGAAATGCCCTGGGGCTGGGGGCTGCCAGGGACAGGTGGGCGCACCGGTGCACGATGCTTTTGCTGTGCAGGTAGGCCACAGCCAGCACGAGCTGGGCAAACCAGCGGCCGGCAAGACCCTCAGCGCAGGGCCCCACACGCTGCACCCGCTCCAGCACATCGCCACCTGGTGCCAGCTCCATAGCGATGTAGTGGCGCGACGTTGTCTCAATGGCCTGGTAGAAGATCACCAGGTGCTTGTGGCGCAGCCCCTTCATCACCTGTGGGTGATGCCCATGTACTGGGTTAGTGGGGCAGGGTCTAGCTCTGCCCTGCCTCCTAGTGGGCCTTGCCCCCTGGCTGGGCCCAATCCCTGCCCCTGGTGCAGGAACAGGTGGACCTGGATTTCGCGGGGTAGAAATTTGTTGAGGTAGTCCTCTGAGGCCTTCTTTTTGGAAATGATCTTGACGGCCACCTTGGTCTTCTGCTTGACGAAGTAGGCCTCATACACAACGCCGTAGGAGCCATGGCCGATGACGCGGCCCAGCTGGTAGCCGTACTGGTCCATCACCGACAGGTAGGGGGTTGAGCCCCCTGCCGCCTCCGCCCCCTTGGCCCCCCGCATGGCAGCAGCCCCCCGCCGCGGCTCCCGGGGCTGCGGGGCCGCGGCTGGGGGCCAGGGCGACGGCAGGCGGGGGCGCTGGGGGAAGCCAGTGCCCTGAGAAAGCGGATGGGCAAGGGGGGAGGTCAGCATGCCCAGGACCCCACATAGGGGACCCCCATCAGCCCCCTGCCCAGTAGGCCATGATCCCCCTCTCCTGCCGCCTTCCACCAATCAGCAAGGAGCCCACCTGGGACCTGCCGCTGCCCCTGAGTTGCTGACCTGGAATCGCACCCCTAAGCTGGTGACATCACAGTGCTCCCCAACAATCCAGGCACCCCCATTGGCTGGTGCCAGTCACCAGGGTGATGGGGAAGGGGGGGCTCTTCCCCTCCTTCCTCTAGAGTATTCCCTTTGTGGGGGAGCATCATCTCAGTGGGGGGAACTGGGGGGCATTGGGGAGCTGCCCATGCCCCACATGGGGGGGTGATTTGTGGGTGTTCATATATTGGGGCCACTAGGGAATGGGGGTTCAGCTTGGGTCACCCAGAACCCCCTGTTTTGGAGAGCTGCTAGAGGCCCCCTTCCCTCCTCTCAGAAATAGGGGTCTGGCCCTTTAAGGTCTCCCACCGCCTTCTGTGCTCCGTGCCCTTTAAGGCGGCCCCAAAGGCGGGGGAGAGGGACGGCCGCAGCGGAACTACGTCAGGGGTGGACATGAAGGCCAGGCCGGGCACTAAGGGCGGAAGTAGTGGGTGGACGTGGCTAGGGCTGACCTGGCCGTCGCCTGAAGGTCCCCACAACTTGTCGTTCTTGGTTCCGGCCGGGGGGGCAGTTCTCCGGGAAAGAGCCGACACTCGCTTGTCGGGGAACCCTCCGGGAAGCCGAGCAGGGGGTTTGGAAGCGTCTGAGTCGGAGCAGGGGGGCGCCGGAGGTCAGGCGTTGTGACAGGCAGCCGCGAGGCAGCGAGGCCCCCAGGCTGGTCGGTGCTGCCTGGCTGGTCGCCTGCTTCTGGGGACTCCCGTCGGCTGGGCGCGGGGCCTGGGCCTCCAGGCAGCAGGCGCCGCCGGGGCAGCCGGTGAGCGAGGACCCCTGGGCGGCGGGGGGCGAGACCCCAGGATGCCCCATGCATGGGGGGCACCTCGGGCAGGAGTGCGAGGACCCCGGTTGGCATGACCCTGGTCAATGGCACTAGCACAGACGCCTAGGCTGGGGGGCAAGGACCCCAGGATGGCCCAGGCACTGGGGCAGGGATGTGAGGACCTGGGTTGGTGTGACCCTGGTCAGTGGCACTACCACAGACTCCTAGGTTGGGGGTGCAAGGATGCCCATTTGGCATGACCCGCCCCCCCCGCCCTCAGCACTGGGGTGGACACCTTGGGCAGGCCAGCATGGCCCCACCCCTGGGACGGGTGCTCTGGGCAGGGGTGCAAGGACCCCAGGTTGACATGACCCAGCGGTGGTCCAGGCACTGGGGGGTGTGGGGGCACCTTGGGCAAAGGCATGAAGTCCCCGGTGGTCACTGAGCACCTGGGATGGGGTCCTGGGGCTGCCACCGCTTTGACCCGTCTCTGCGGGCACCTGTGTTGGCAGAGCGGGGGCGGGTTGCAGGAGTCCGGGCTCTCACTCCCTCCCGCTTCTCTCCAGTTTCCCAACTTCCTCGGTGCAGGCCCCATGGCATCCCACCGCTCCTGCGTGCCCCTGCTGCTCCTCCTGCTGGGGACCTGCCCGCTGCCGGGGTCCTCAGAGGCCCAGTACAAGCCTGGGGACCCAGTCATGCTATACGTCAACAAGGTGGGACCCTACCACAACCCTCAGGAGACCTACCACTACTACCAGCTGCCTGTGTGCTCCCCCGAGAAGATCCAGCACAAGAGCCTGACTCTGGGGGAGGTGCTGGATGGTGACCGCATGGCTGAGTCCCTCTATCAGATCCGCTTCCGGGAGAACGTGGAGAAGAGGACCCTGTGCGAGATGAAGCTCAGCCCTGACCAGGTAGCCCCGTATGGATGCCTGGCTTCCAGCTTAGTATTGGCTGAGGCACGGGGTGCACGCTTTGGCTAGGGGCGTGAAGACACCAGCTTGGTGTGATCTCTGCCACCACCAAGGCACTGGGGTGGGCACCTCAGTTAGGTGTGCAAGGACCCCAGGTTGATGTGACCCTGTCCCAGCCAAGGCACTGAGGCTGACGCCTTGAGTAGGGATGTGAAGGCCCAAGCTTGGTGTGACCCCTGTCATAGCCAAGGCCCTAGGGTGCATGCCTCGGATTGGGGTTCAGGGACCCCAGGATGGCCGAGATGCTGGGGTAGACTCTCAGCTAGAGGTGTAAGGACCCCAGGTTGGTGTGACCCCAACCCAGCCAAGGCACTGGTGTAGACACCTTGGGTACGGGTGTGAAAACCCAAGCTCAGCGTGACCCCTGCCATGGCCAAGCCACTGGAGTGGGCACCTCAGTTAGGGGTTCAAGGACCCTAAGTTAGCATGACCCCATCATAGTTCAGGCACTGGGGTGGGCACCCCAGGCAGGGATGTGAAGACCCAAGCTCAGCGTGACCCCTGCCATGGCCAAGGCACAAATAGATGCCTTGGATAGGGGTTCAAGGACCCCAGGATGACCAAGGTGCTGGGATAGACTCTCAGATAGGGGTGCAAGGACCCCAGATTAGCATGACCCCACCATAGTTCAGGCACTGGAGTGGACATCTCAGGTAGGGGTGTGAGGACCCCAGGTTGGCATGACCCCACAAGTCTTGTTCTGGGGAGCCCAGCCCAGATGCCCGGGTTCTGGGGCCACCAGGGTGGGGGGTGAGATGGGACATCTGGGCCCTAGCCAGGGATCTGGGAGGAGAGGGAACCTGGGGCATTAGAGTGGGGGATGCTGGGAGCCTCAACGCCTGGGTCCTCACCCTGCCCCCGACAGGTGGCGCAGCTCCGCCGGGCCATCGAGGAGCTCTACTACTTTGAGTTCGTAGTGGATGACCTGCCTCTAAGGGGCTTCGTGGGCTACATGGAGGAGAGCGGGTTCCTGCCCCACAGCCACAAGGTGGGGCTCTGGACGCACCTGGACTTTCACCTGGAGTGGAACGGCAACCACATCGTCTACGCCAACGTCAGCGTGAGGGACGTCAAGCCCCGCAGCCTGGATGACCTGGCCGGGCCAGGTCCCTTCCCCATGGCCCACACCTACAGCATCCGCTGGTCAGAGACGGCCACAGAGCGCCGGGGCGAGCGGCATGGCCGGGGTGGTGACGACGCCTTCTTCCCCCGCACTTTGGAGATCCACTGGTTGTCCATCATCAACTCCATGGTTCTGGTCTTTCTCCTGGTGGGCTTCGTGGTGGTCATCCTCATGAGGGTCCTCAAGAATGACCTGGCCCGCTACAACCTAGACGAGGAGGCTTCGACCTCGGCTGCAGCCGACGACTACGACCAGGGGGACAACGGCTGGAAGATCATCCACACTGACGTCTTCCGCTTCCCGCCGTGCCGCGGCCTGCTGTGCGCTGTGTTGGGCGTGGGCAGTCAGTTCCTGGCCCTGGGCACCGGCATCATCGTCATGGCGTTGCTGGGAGTCTTCAATGTTCACCGCCACGGTGCCATCAACTCAGCCGCTATCTTGCTCTATGCCCTCACCTGCTGCGTGGCCGGCTACGTCTCCAGCCACTTCTACCGGCAGCTGGGGGGTGAGAGCTGGGTGTGGAACATCGTGCTCACCACCAGCCTTTTCTCTGGTGAGGAGAAGGCCCTCTGCCCCCTCATAGTTTTTACGGTCTTGGGGTGGGGAGGTCTGTGTGTGCGGGGCACCTCTATGACTCTGGAGGATGGTGGAGTGGAGCATCTGGACCCACTTTGGGAGTCTCAATGATACCCGGTGGGGGGTTGCAGTGCTTTACTCGGGAGTGTCCGTGATCTTTTGGTGGAGGTGGAATGGATCCATCTGGCCTCCCTTGGGGCATCTCTGTGGTTCTCAGAGGATGTGACATGGGTCTGTCTGGCCTCCCTTGCAGGGTCTCTTTGGTCCCCATAGGATGTGCGGTTGGTCTGTGTGGTCTCTGTAGGGGTTGGTGTGTATGGTTCCTGGAGGATCTGGGATGGGTCTGTGGCCTGTCTTATGATGCGTTTCTGTGGGTCCCAAAACATGAGGGATGGGTCTGCCTGGCCATCCTTGAGGCAACTCTGTGGTCCCTGGAGGATGTGATAGGGGTTTGCTTGGCCTCCCTTGAAGGGTCTCTGTGGTCCCCAGAGGATGTGGGGTGGTGGTATCTGGTCCTCCCCTTGGCAGGGTTCCTCCATGGCCAGGGTGGGACTCTTCAGTCACTCTTGGGGCATCTCGGTGGTCTCGTCCTTGCCCTGACCCCGTCTCTCCTCGCTCCCAGCCCCCTTCTTTTTGACGTGGAGCGTGGTCAACTCGGTGCACTGGGCCAATGGCTCCACACAGGCCCTGCCAGCCACCACCATCCTGCTGCTGCTGAGTGTGTGGCTGTTGGTCGGCTTCCCCCTCACCGTCATCGGGGGCATCTTCGGCAAGAACCGCGCCGGCCACTTCGACGCACCCTGTCGTACCAAGAACATCGCCCGGGAGATCCCGCCCCAGCCCTGGTACAAGTCCACCCTGGTGCACATGACCATTGGTGGCTTCCTGCCCTTCAGGTGAGCCCTCCCTTCCTGTCTGCTACCCTGCTGAGGAGAGGGAGGGGTGGGGGGGACTGCCCAGGCAGCACCCCCCTTCCATGAATGCCGTAGGCAGAGGCGGCCCAGGGCTCTCTGTGGTCCTCTGACCTGGGCTGGATCCTTGGAGGGTCTCCATGGTGCCCGGCTCCTCCATGTCCTGTCCCCTACACCAGTGGGCCAACTCTTGGCTTTCCTGAATGAGGATGCTTGTTGCCAGTCCCCTAGACAGGAAATAGGGATGCTATGTCATCATCTATCCCAAGGGTTTTCAGCCTTTTTTAGTCTAAGTACCTTGGTGGCCAGATGCTGACTGGCAGGGGGGTTGTGGGGGGTGGGTAGCTTGCAGCTGGATGCTGAGGGGGAAAGCGGGGGGCAGGGTGCACGGCTGGACATGGAGCAGGGAGGCAGAGATGGCACATGGGCAGGTGGGGACAGAGTGCCACCACCTCCCAGGAGTCAGGGCAGGGCGGGGAAGCTCATCGGGCTGGTATGCAGCAGCGGCCACCACATGTGAGGTTCCCCGCCCCACAGAGGGATGCCGCTGCCCTCGTTCTGCCCCGGTCCTGTTCCTGGGACGCGGCAGCACTCCGTCCTCTCCTGCCTGCGCATACCCCCTAGGACCAGTCCAAGTACCCCTAGGGGTATGCATGGCCCTGGCTGACAACCCCCGATCCATCCAAATAGGTAGGAGGGAAACAGGAAGTAGATTGTGCTGAGTAAGTGACCTCATTGTCCCTCCACACAGGAAGGAGGAAGAGGGGAAGTGGATGGTGCCAAGGAAATAGGAAGTAGACAAACAGGATGCTATCTGAAAGAATGATGATGTAACTTTCTTGGCGCAATCACTTCCTGTTTCTCCCCTCCATGTTTGATGTCACTTCCATGGCACAAACCACTTCCTGTTTGCCTTTTTCTTTCCCACACGGATGATGTCACTTCCTTGGTAGGATCACTTCTTGTTTCTCTTCTGCTTCTCCAAAGGGACAATGAAGTCTCTCTGGTGGTAGGATGATGTCACTTCCTTGGCACATTCCACTTCCTGTTTCCCCCTTGCTGCATGACAGTGTTGCTTCCTTCACACAGGAGGGGCGGAGGGCTCCCTACCCCATCTCCCTGCCCTCCCTCTCACCCTCTTCCCCTCCTGTCCCCTCCAGCGCCATCTCCGTGGAGCTCTACTACATCTTCGCCACAGTGTGGGGCCGGGAGCAGTACACACTCTACGGCATCCTCTTCTTTGTCTTCGCCATCTTGCTGAGTGTGGGTGCCTGCATCTCTATTGCCCTCACCTACTTCCAGTTGTCAGGCGAGGACTACCGGTGGTGGTGGCGTTCAGTCCTCAGCGCCGGCTCCACCGGCCTTTTTATCTTCCTCTACTCGGTCTTCTACTACTCACGGCGCTCCAACATGTCGGGCACAGTGCAGACAGTGGAGTTTTTTGGCTACTCCCTGCTCACGGCCTACGTTTTCTTTCTCATGTTGGGCACCATCTCCTTCTTCGCATCTCTCAAGTTCATCCGTTACATCTATGTCAACCTCAAGATGGACTGAGGAGCCTGGGCCTTGACATGACTTTAAAGATGGCTCCCCTTCTATCTCCCCTCCCATTGGCTGGGACTCTCAGAGACGATGTGTCATTTGCCAGTGTGGGTAAAGATGGGTTCTCTTTAAAAAATCTCCCCTTCCATTGACTGGAGATGCCGTGTTGTTGGCCATTGTGGCTAAAGATGGCTTCCCTTTAAAGATCTTCTCTCCCATTGGCAGCCAGGGTTGGCTTGGCTTAAGAAGGCTTCCCCCTAAAGATTTCCCATCCTATTGGCCGGGACCATATGGAGACCCTTCCCCAATGGCCACAGTGTTGGGCTGGGATGACTAAAAGTGGCTCCTCATCAAGATGTCCTCTCCCGGTGACCTTGAGGGCTGGCCGGTGGGTTGGCATCATTTTAAGATGGCTTCCCCTAACAAATCTTTCCTCACATTGGCTGGGACCAGTGTGGAGGCTCTTATCTGTTATTCATGGGCATGGTTAAAGATGGTTTCCCTTAAAGGTCTCCTCTTCCATTGGCTATTCCTTCGTTGACCTGACTTAAGATGGTGTCTCCTAAAGACCTGCCCTCCCACTGGCTGGGATGTCTGGGATCCCTGTAAAGAGCTCCTGGCCTATTGGCTGCATGTTGGGCTAATCAGCAAATGTAGCAAGGTTGGCAGCTTTGATGAAAGCCTCCTACTGGCCCGAGCTGGGAGAAGTCAGGTTGGATTGGTGGAAACCTCTGGCTGGAGAGCACTATGTAGAGCTCGCCTCCCCTCCTATTGGCCAGGGTGACTGACCAATGGCTATCTTCTACTGCAGCTCGTGCCCCTCCTTGGGAACTCTCTGCCTCCATTGGCGCTCAGTGCCAGCCGCTCAGTCTCTGCTCCTACTGGACTGGGACCCTAACTGGATGCTGGGAAGGCACTGCCCAGCCAATGGCAGGACTCCATCTCTGATCCAAGCTCTGCTGCCTCACCTGATCCCCGAGGGGGGAGTGGGATCTGCGGGCGGGGGCTGGGGTGGATCCCTGCCTGGATGGAGGGTGAGTCACTAGGATCCCTCTGTGCACCTAGGTGGGCTGGGGAGAGAACCCAGACAGATTCTAGTGTGAGCGGATCCCGGGGAGGAGGGTGGATCTCGGCGCCACCTGCAGATCTCTGTCCTGCCCCAGGTGCGGGTGCGAGCGGCCCGGGGCGGGGAGCTGGCTTCTTTTTACAAGCTCAGAATAAAGTTTATTAAGAAAAAAAGCGCGTGTCTCGTCTCGTCTCGTCTCGTCTCGTCCGGCCCGGCCCGGCCCGGCCCGGCCCCCACCCCTGGGCGCAGGGGGAGACCCCGGCTGTCCGGGCCCTGCCCCGCCCCCATCTTGTAGAGCCAGGGAGGGAACCGCGGCGTCCGTGCTGCCGGGGGCGGCGCCGAAGGGGTTAACCTGGGATCCTCCCCGCCGCGGCCGCTCTGGCCCCCGGAAGCGGCGGCTCGCCTGCTCC